CGCGCCCCGCCTACTACATTCTGCCACAATATCGCCCCGCGCGAGAACACACATAAGCGCCACCGGAACAATAACGGGGCCGTAAAATAGCCGGAGGACGGCTCGGCTCGGGCTCGGCTCGGCTCGGCTCGGCCTCGGCTGGACTCGGCTGCACTCGGTTCGACTCGGCTTGGCTCAGCTCGTCTCGGCTCGATTTGGCTCGCCCAGGTCGTACGGAGACATGTACGGAGGCGAACATATGGCCGCATACGGTCCATGGGCCCGACGCGGAGGCGGGGTGAGCGTGGGAACAACCCGTGCAGGTGCGCAGTTAGAAGTGTGTCCACACGACGCCCAGCTGTCGTAGCGCCTGGTAGGTAGGCAACATCCCCACTGCAGCGCATGCGTGCACTGCGGAGCGGCCTACCCCGAGTCTCGCAGGCGCCGAGCCCGCGTACACGCACCGAAAAAAACTGCACTGTGAAAAACATCTCGGTAAATCTACGATACATTTCGTAATAAACGATTGACAACTGTGTTGTAAATTTACGACAGCCAATACTTGCTCTCATCGATTGAGTTCAAAATCAATGTAATGCTAGAGTACATTAACAAATTTAAATTGCAATTGTATACGACACAAGAAAAACGTACGTAACTTCTGCACGATCCTTTTAAAATTGTATTTTTTTTTGTTCCAAATGAGAGCTCCCTCCGCCGTACGTGTGCAGTACACCCCTTCAAACACCCCCCCAAAGCCCAAAGCCCCCTATTTTCATTTTGCTTTCGGTGCCCCCCCCTCCCCCCTCCCCTTCCCCCTCCCCATCGTGCGCTCACGGCGGCCGCGACGAGCAGGAGGGGGGAGGGGGGGCGGAGCGCCACGAGGCACCAGTTAATTACCGAAAATAACAACGGAGGGCAAAACAATTAAGCGGACACCGGGATTGCGGCTCCGGCGCGCGGACGGGAATGGGGATGAAGGACTTGAACGTGAATGTCGATGTGAAAATGGAATGAAAACGAACCGGCCGGCGGCGGGGCGCTGCTGTGTGCTTGCCGTAGTGGAGGGGAGCGGCAGTCGTTATTGCGCTACACCGTTATTTTGTCTTTCCCCAGCCTTTTGTTTTAGAACGAAAAGAGTTTTGTGATTCGAAAGCATACGACGCATCTCGTCAAAAAAAAGAAACAAAACAACGCAGAAACAATTCTTTTCTTAACAAGGAAAAACAAAACCGAAAAAATAATAACACACCTGAAAAAGCGGATCTATCTTGAACTTACGTAAAAAGAAAAAGAGACATTTTAATTCTTAGAGGAAATTTGCGGTACAAAAGTAAATCGCCCCCCTCCCCCCACAAAAAAACATACACACACACACACACACAAAAAAGTAGAGTAAATCGGCTCCAGTCCCTCCACCGAGCAAGTCAGGTGGGGCGAGGAGTGGCCAGTCCGAACCGCTCCTCCTACGAGCCGGTGAAGCTAATCTCCCATTGTCCTGCCGCCGACGCGAGGGCGGCGCGCGTCCTTTTGTGATGCGCGGGCGACCCTGCCGCGGCGAGTCAACAAGACGAGAAGTGCCCTTTCGGCGCACCTACTGGAAGACTTGTTGCGGCAAGGTCCGACCCAGAGCAGCGAGTGAGCTCGAGGAACGGAGACGGAGGGTCTCAAAGTGACGTGCTCTGACACCTGGCACCGTGAGCACCGCAGAAAAACTGTTTCTTGATTCAAGCACATTTTTTCTTGTTTCTAGTAAATGCTGCCCCGCAAGATCAATTTTACTCTTCACCCAGAAAATGCGTGTGCTTAAGAGTATCAAGTTGTTGTTTTTTTGCTTTTTTGCGCTCAATTTAAGCCCAATTTAGCCTTGAAACAAGAACGTGCGTATCATTCAAGCGCGAGGGGGAACGATTTGAGAACGAATTGGGGTTGATTTGAGTCTGTATAGTCGAGCACGACTGGGGTTGAGACTATCAAGTACATTGCACTCGATTCAAAGTATATTGCACATGATCCGAGAACACGCCTTTCTGGGTGTAGCTTGAAACAAGCTGACATTATCTTTCGAACAAGAGAAAAATCTAGTTGCAAAGAAAATATATTGACTTGTTTCAAGAGTGAATTTAATCTTGGGTCAGCGTGTACTTGAAATAAGAGACGATTCTGCTGGGTGTGGAGCATCGGTGAACTCTGACGCAACACCGTTGAACTGTTCTTTGAAGCTACAGCCCAGAGACCGCCGCCAGCACAACGTTAAAACAACGTGCAAAAAATAACCCACCTAGAAATATTTTGAACTAATACGGACAAAATTGCCTCTCTGGTAAAGACAGTCTTGAGGACTGACTAAGAATTGTCCAGCGCACAACCATATACAGTGTCGTGGGCAGTTGTGTGACGGACGTACCGGGTCGGTCCGCTCCATCGTCGTCCTCGTCGTGTCGGTGCTTGTGGTGTCGGCGGTGGTGCGAGTGTCTGCGGTTGCCCGGGATGTGCACGCCGACGAACACGGAGCCCGCCCGGTGGCCTGCGGAGCACACACAACGGCCCGTCACTCTCTCTGTGTGACGAATACGCAACACTACACACTACGGAACGGAAACAGCGTGCAGTGCAAAATGACTGTATGGCATGCATGAAGTGTGGTGCATGAGTGCGACTACTCAAAAGAAAGTGCCCAACGAACGCTATGCAAAGTGCGAGTGGAAAAGAGAGCCAGGCAAAAAGTATACAAATCCCAAAGTATGATCGCGCTTATATTTTTTAAGCACAATTTTGTAAAATGTGGCATATAGAGTTTTGAACTACACAAGGGTGTGTGTAAAACGTCGTGCAATTAACTTTCTACCATGCATGTCATGTTTAATCTATTTTTGGGGAGGCCGTCGCCAGGTGCTGATTGCCCCTATCCCTCCACTCCCCTTTGCCCTCTTTCTGCCATGAGCGCTCAGAAACCACGCAGGGGTGGTTTCGTTCTCCGCGGTGGCGTTCGGCGGTGTGGAGTAGTAGGTCGGGGCGGGG